AGCAGAACCCATGGAAGAGCAGCGCCCAACACGCCTCGCATCAGTTGGTCGGATTCCACGTGTAGTCTCGAGAAGAGACAGGCAGCACCGACCAGCTTTGCAATCTTTCTCAAGACCATTCAGTATGGCCGATTCTCCTTCGATCGCAGCCCCCGTGGCGACTACGCTATCTGACTTCTCACCGCCGGGCTTGCCCGCACTGGAGGCTCAATCAGGGATGTATCATGGGAATCCGTCAGGCTTTGGCTTTGATTTTACTCAACCATTTGGCGACCCTATGAGCCGTAGTGTTTTGGACTTTATTGCTGGGCCTTACTCTTCGGACCAATTCTTGACATTCTATCCTAGGAAGGAGTCAACGACGACCATAACAAGTTCAAGTGGCTCTGAGAGCCTAGCAGCGGTCACGGCTGTTATCCCGGAGCCTGAGTCCGCTTTAACTGAAGATGAAGTGTGGGGAGAATATGATGACCTCATTGATCATGTTCTCTCTCCTGAAACTGCGAGGCCTCTTTGCCCGGGTGATTCAGAGGCAGATGAGAAGTTTGAACTGGCCGCCATGGCAAGTAGAGCTCTTCAGGCTGAACTCAGTGGGTTCTCCGATCTCCAGGCCTTTCCCACAGCTGTTGAGAATCCGGCTGTAGCACTCACTCCGGCATCTCCAACTTCAAGCAGTGGGTCTTTCCACCTGAGGCGATCCAAGATTGCCCCAACTCTACACTCGTCACTTGTGCCTTCTAGTCAACCTTCGTTTAGTGACATAATCGCCTGCTACCACAATGATGGAAGTGTAGAAAATCTGCATGAGGAGAATCTGAACAATTTGTCAACTCCATCCCTGTCCATTGAGCAGCAGTCCAGCTTCCTCACATCACCTTCTCTAAATCCCTCACCAAGCTTCGAAACCTGTCGGCAACGGAATACGATTCTGTTTGATATTGCTGAGCGTGATCGGGAGGGGCCGACAGCGCAAACCAACATCAGATCCGGATCACTCATGACTAGTCGATGGTTGTCCTTCGGAAGGGTTCTATTCAGTCCTGCTCATAATCACATCAAAAATGGAGAGGAAGAGCGGATCCTAGTAGTGGATGGACTAGGAAACGATGACTGGTCGTTTTACTGTGCTTTGACATATCCTAATGCTGAGGTGTACAACCTGAACGATGCACCGACTCCGACGGGATCCAAACATCCAGATGCCTGGCAGCCACCATCCAACCACCATACTATCCACCATGCAAACCTTGAGTATCGGTTCCCGTTCCCTAAACGATACTTCACAGTGGCTGTCCTGCGCTTCCCCGCAGCATGCTCTGAACATGTTCAAGACAATATCATCTCAGAGTGTAAGCGTGTGCTGCGCCCGGGGGGCTACATGGAGATGAGCCTACTCGATCTCGACATGGTGAACATGGGAATTCGCACCCGAAAAGCTGTCAGAAACCTGAAGGAGAGGACATACTTAACAGACCCCAGTATCAGCCTCAAGCCTTCAAGCGACAGCATACAACGCCTGCTGGGACGACACGGGTTCGACAACCTACGACGCTGTATAGTACGGATTCCAGTCGCAGGGGTGATTGTAAGATCATCAGCCTCATCCTCATCCACATCATCATCGAACCCATCCACATTAGCAGTGACAGCCACATCCTCAACCGCACTGTCGCACCCCTCCAATTCATCGCTAGGCGCCCAAACAAAAGCCCATAGCAAATCATCCTCCAACGACACTGACCTATCCCTCGGCGACCTCCTTTCGGACCCTTCCCCTTCGCCTTCAAACGACGAATCCATCCGAAAAATCGTCGCCAGAGTCGGTCGCTGGTGGTACACAAGATGCTATGAGATACCAGTCCTGGCGAACGGTGATGCAGGCCTCAGTATCTGGTCTGATAGGAAGGTACTCCGCGAATGCCAGAAGCGAGGTACCGGGTTCCGCCTCTTGACTGCATATGCACAGAAACCGAGCGAGAAACGCAGAACAGCAAGCGTTTAGATGAAAATGCTTGCTGCACATGAAACCTCATGATACATAACGATAAATTGACGATTTACGAATGAACTACTATATTCTCATTAATATCCTACGAACTGATATGACGGTTTTTCAATTGTCACGAATATTACCGATAATTTACTACGCATACCGGCAACGGTCAGAGGAAGACAAAAACAGATTGTTATGATACCTTTTATTTTGGTTTTGTTTTATGTTCAAGTTCTCTTTCAGGTACAGACGGTTTACGATGTTTGAAGATTTGGCATATGTGCATATTATCCTTCTGTCTGAGGACTGTGTGTTCTGCTTGCATACCTGGAGGCTGTCTGAACATTTATGATTGATTTGTTTGTCTAGCGTCTTTACCTCCTGTTTTATGTATGATCTTTCTTGACGAACTATTCTGCGTTCCTGTTATTGGTTTGATGTAACGCTTCTTTTCACTGAACTGCCTGGAGCAGGGATAACCATGATAATAATCAACCACTATGCAACAATAATCACTTTACCTAGTAAGCGTGTATCGATAACCTGATAAACCAATCATACGACGAGGGACTATTAGTATGAAGGAATACCTCGTGCACGATAGACGTATATACTGTATACTTCCATGTTGCTACTCAATACTATTATTACAGTGACATCAAGAAAAATATATGTCAAGACACAATGACATAAACACGCATTTTAACACCATATTGACTTCGCAACACATCTACAATCTCGCTGAACGTCATCAAAATGCACAAAAATGTGAGATACAGGATGGTGCTACTCCCTTCCATACCTCTCCTTCTCCCAGAACCAATGGTATAAGCTCCTCCACTCGGTCGCTTCATCTTCCACATAATCTCCCACCAACTCTGCTGTCTCGTTTCCCTCCGGCAGGTCAAGTGTTGGGGGAATGGGGCCGCTAGAACTCATTTCAATAGTTACATTGCCCGCATTGTGATCAAGAACGCTGGCATCTGTATCCTTGACTTTCTCAGCGAGGTCGCGGGCACCTTCTCGGGCAGCTTCGGCCCATTCCTCCGCTTGCTGGCGGGCTCGCTCGATCAATTCATCCGGTGTAGGGTATTGTCGAGAAGCGATGAGGAGAAGATAGTAGCTCTGTACAATGATGGAGTATACTGCGTCCTTTGCGAGCATGGTGAACCCGTGGGAGAAGAAGCCTTTGAGTACTTCGCCTGGTAGGCCTGCGTAGAGAGCTTGGATACCTTCCGTACGAGCTATACTAACCACATTGGAAATGATGGGCGGCATCAATGACAATCCATCATCAGAGTCGTCTTTCTCTCCACTATGGGTTGAAGGGGTGGCGCTCGAGCCGGTGACTTGGGCTCGAGTCTTAGCCATTGAAATCGGATATGTTATTGACGATGCCGCTGACTTGCTGATAGCAGCTAACAGGAAGGTTGCAGCCGCCGACGGTTTTCCGCGCTTATCCCGGGGAAAAAAACTATATTTCAAGAATTCATTTAGGAAGAATGTAATGGACGGATTCAGCGTAAGGATAAGAGAAGCCGAATAACCCGACCAGAACCCTTTGATCCCCTTCTCAGATCGAATCTGAGCAGCTATATCTCTAGTACTAGACGAAGATTTAGAGGTCTGCTTTCGCGCCACGATATTAGCCAACGGCGTCGTGAACAGCTTGGCGAACGCGCCCGCCAAAACACCGACGGCTAGCTCGTCCAATATAGGTAGGACAACATGCTTCCCGCCTTTCCGGGCGGGACCGTACCGGGCGTTAATCCTCCGCTGTCTGAAGAATCCGTATGCTAGGAAGAATAGGAACGAGTCGGCTACGGTTTTGACTGTGTCTTGGGCAAGACCAGTGTACAAGCTTCCGAGTCCTTCTTTGGCGTAGATCTTGCGTACTGCGTCGAGAATATTGGTGTAATCTTCCTGGTCTTCTTCATTACTGTCCTCCGTATCTTTGTCTTGACCTTCTGTCTTCTCCTCTTCACCCTTGCCTTCAGTCTTCGTTGTCTTTTTGGGGTTGCGTTGGTTTTGTGTTTGCAGCCGGGCGATGATAAGACTCAACGGGTACGTAGCGACATTTGAGATAGCCGCTCCAACAGCACCAGCTACTGCATTTCCGAGAGCTGGAAGAGCTGGGCCACGGAGGGCGGCTGTTTTCCAGTCTTTGTTCGGTCGGGGTTCTTCATATCGCTGGTAAAGGGAGTAGGTATCCTGTAGTTCAATGCCGACGGTGTTAGAAAGTAGGATTCCGTGAGAAGTGAACAAGGACAGCGACAGCATACCAGCTCAGGGTTATATGACACCTCGTACTCGGGCATTTTGTCCAGCGAAAATTGCAGTGTCAGGAAAACCTGTCAAAGTGGGGAATTATAGTACATGTAATGGTCGATGATAGTGCTCAAGTCGTGGATTGCGGGATCAGAATCGAATACAGGGCGGCCGAGTATGGGCTCATATCGAATAGATATGAAGTAGAAATGGATAAAATTCGTTATCATGCAATATCCAGATGATTAGTATGCAGAGGTCTTCTCGTTGGACATCGGCCGAGGTCCAAAAGCCCTGGTTTGGGGATAACGTCACGTCATGCTCACGTGTGGCCCGTGCATGCAACGGTCGCGGCATGTGATCCTGAATGTAAACTGTGAATCTTCAGGCTCTACTTTCTGTCTACAAGATTTTATTCAAAAGAAAATGTTACTAGATAGTTGGATTGTTATTCCAATGAGTCTACAAAACGTTCAACCCATTGCTCCCTCCAAACAAAACCGTATCAAACCCGACAGATACCTTCTGAACAAAAAAGCAAGCCGGCCGTCCCAAAACCCCATACCCAGTGGTAATCATGATTCAGATTCCGTGAAAAACAAAATTGATTAGCAAGTATCACACCGTAAAGCGCTCATCACCTCCGTCCATTCGAGCCAGCAAGAATCGGTCATGTGACGACAGTCACCATCGCACGTTGGACGAGGAACAAAACAGAAAGGACTCGAAGGCGAGGAAATTAGCCACCGAAACCGTAGAGAGTGCGGCCTTGGCGCTTGAGGGCGTAGACCACGTCCAGCGAGGTGACGGTCTTGCGTTTGGCGTGCTCAGTGTAGGTGACGGCATCACGAATGACGGACTCGAGGAAGGACTTGAGAACACCACGGGTCTCCTCATATATCATGGCGGAGATACGCTTGACACCACCACGGCGAGCGAGACGACGGATGGCAGGCTTGGTGATACCCTGGATGTTGTCACGCAAGATCTTGCGGTGACGCTTGGCGCCGCCCTTGCCGAGACCCTTGCCACCTTTACCGCCTAAATTGGACGGATGTCAGTAAGAGTTAATGATGGATGAGTGTAGAGTAGGCTAGGGAGTGTCCATAGGTAGGATGTTGGATGCAAGGCAGCGAGTGCCTCAGGCTAGCACATGACATCACGTGCCATCGGGAGTGCATCATCATCATCAACCTGGATGCTGACGACGTTGATGGAGAGACAACGACAGGAAAGTACTTACGTCCAGACATGTTGTTAAAAGTTCAAGATGGATGAACAGAGATAAAAATCGATGAGATATAGATGGAAATGGTGAGTTGTAGGATGATAAGACGCGACGCGTTGCGGGCCAGTTGCTGAAATCAGAGGTTGCAAGAAAAAGGGAAAAGACCGTCAGGAAAGGCTTTGTAACGAGAGGGGCTATAGCTTATATAGCTTTTCCGGGCGGGCGGCAAGGGAAAGGGTGATTTCGCCCTAGAATTTCACACAGGGTTAATGACTAATCATAGGAGGATGCCCTGGGACAGTCAAAAGCAATGCAGCGTGTTGATTGGCGGGTAGGGGGGGTGAAAAAGGGCGTTATGAACGACCGCTTTCAAGCCCGTGTTTTTGGGCGTTCGTTGTTTTGGCGCATTACCTGCTGGAACGCGGGCCCGAGGGGCGGGTCACTATCACGTGATGATAATGTCGGATATCTCAACCTCATCAAATGCGATTGTTTTTCAGAATATCTTGTACTCATGATTCTCCACAAAAGGCAAGGCAATGCAAGTATTATATGTTTGCAATACCCAGAGAAATACTTTAAAGTTTCAATTTCTTACACCCACGACTTTCTGGGGATGAACGAAACCCAGATTTCATACCTGACATTCTCCTTGCGGGTCGCCTACATACCTACTCCAGTGAGGACGCGCCACGGCCAACATTTACCAAACCATGTGTACAACTTCAATCCGCAAGGTGAACTATTCAGTCATATTACGTTGTATTAGCCTAGTAACACCCACTGTAAGTCAGAGAGCTTCGGAAGTGCTATTCGCCAGATACCATCGAAAACTTGTAGCTCATGTCAGAACTATTCTTAATCTGACTGTAAACCTGTATTGTATCTGTCATACATCCTTCCGCTATCACATATCATACCAAGACGCCTTTAGAAAAAGAAAAGAAAAGGAACTCTGGAGGGGAGTTGGACGAAATTGTGCGATCAAACCCCGTACAACGCTCAAGTAGAATCAATGATAATTAACAATATGCTAAATGCAATCGACATCTTTTAACGACATCCTCGTGCGGGTGCCTTATCATGGGAAACGCTCTCGATAAATGCTGCCGACCGATAGATTACTAGAGACACATAACTTCATGATCATGAGGAGGAAGAATAAGATAAACATAAAAATAAAAACTGACACATGGGCGAGAGCATACAAATCGAGGTACCAACACCATGTGACGAAGACTTTTATGCCCCTTCAGTGGAAAAAAGCTGGCGCAAGAAGTGGGAACCCGCGGTTTATTACCATCGCAAAGGCCATTCTTCGAGCTTCCACACCATGAAAAGGGCACAACCATAATAAAGATAAAAGAGGTATCGCAAAGGTCACATTAAGGGTTGCAATAGAAATGCCACATCTCATACTGCACGATACATCGTAAGTATCAACATCGGAAAGAAGATGATCATTCAATCTCGTATCTGATGGACGGAAGCAGTATGTTGTTGGATATTAGTAGATGTTATCTTAGATGACGAAACGTCCAACTCGTCATACGTGTAAGACGGAATATAATTCGTCGTTAGGGCGCAGATTCATTCATCCTTGAATAACTGCTGGTCTTTGTGTTTCCTTGAGGAAAGTGCTTTGCATGGGCTCGATATATGGATAACTGTGTGGGGTGGGTGAAGAATTGCGGGAGCTGCCACCAGTAGCTGTGTCCATCTTGGGAGACGCTGTTGGTGACGATTCAGAGGAAGACTTATCCAAGCTTGGTATGGGACGAGTGTTGTGGGAAGGGCTCGAAGAGCCGAAGAAGCAATATCGGTCAACAAGCTCCTTATACACGGAGGACTCTCGATGGGGCTTGCTTGATAATAAAGTGGACGGCTTCGATTGTTCAGCCTGAGGTTGGCTTCTTGGCTGTGAGTGACTGTCGTCCAGAGGCCGGTCGACAATCGCACCTCGTCCCTTGACTGGGCTGTACCTTTCGGCCCCTGGTGGGGGACCTTCAGACTTTGCCCGAGCAGTGAGAGTGGTCCGGTCGTGCGCTGACTTTGTGCGCATCGCAGCATTTAACGATGCTTCAAAGTCATAACGACTACCAAATATCTGGGAAGACTGCCTGTCACGACGCACAGGAGCCACCGCATCATCATCATGTGATTTGACTCCATAGGCGGGCCGATCCTTAGTACCTCGCGTGTTACGGTCGAAGGAAAGATAGTCTTTCATACTCGAAAAGTCATCGAAAGACGGAGACTTTCTTTGATTGTTGGCGCTAGAACCAGCAAAGGTCTTGCTCCGAGGAAGGGGAGCGCGAGACACTGAGATCGGCTTGACAAGCAGACCATGAGAGTCGGGCTTCGATGTAGGAATCCTAAGGAAGGTAACCTGATAATTCATTGCCCGGTTGTTATCCCAGAATTCCTGTCCATCGACGTAATAACGAACGCAAAGGAACATGGTCTTCTTTTCTAGGTTTGCCTGCTCGTCCAGCTTGATACTGAAGCAAAATCGGTCATATCCATCATTAATCTGCTTACGGCGAACATCGTCACTGTATTCTGCAATAACTTCAGAGATCGTCTTCCAATGATCGAATGTGAAACGAGCTGCGACATGTTTGTGGAAGGCTAGATTAGCAACTGCAACCACACCAACCAAGGTGTTCTTGTCCGACGACAAAAACAGACGTTCAAGCCGAACTCGTTGATGAGCTCGGGTTGAGACATCCCTAGGGAAGTTTGGGAGTCTAATGTCCCATTCATAGGAAGTCATGTCCGGCTGATCTTTGTTGAACGGAAAACCGCCTTCAGATTCATAATCGTCTACTGGGGATCCGCCAGCACTCACAGCCTGGGGTTTATCCAACTGCAAAAAGTGCCTGATGTGCTCTAGCTGGGCATCAAAGTGAACGGCCTTAGCGTATGTTGGTGTCCCAGGCATGCTCGACGGGCGCCGTCGCGCTGAAGGCGGGCGGAGAGCCGGTCTAACGAGCTCCCCCGACTTCTTACGCACCATGGGTTGTTTCGCCCGCGGGTCGTCATCTCCATCGCTCTCATCGGGGGAGCTAGTCACTGCCTCCTCTTGCTTTAGATCGATGGCGTGCTCTGTTATTGAGCGTGAATGGGAAATTTTGCGCGCTTCCTTGGAAAGAGGTGGATGAGGCTGCTTCTTAGTAGGATTAGTTGTTTGTGTTACGCTTGACGATGACTTCCTCTCCTGGGTTTCTCGCTCCGGAGAGGAAACGCGCCTCTGCTCTATAGACCTCACGGCTACCTCCAACTCCTGTAGGCAAAGCCCCTCCTTGTGACCGTACGTAGACTCTTCATCACTCGAGTTCGGGGCAGACTCTGGAGGAGAGATCATCGCCCCAGGAGGGATAAGAGCGTCACTTCGTGGAGGTGGCGATTGCCTGATGGTAGCATGAGAATCTATTGTCTGCTTGGACTTCCGCACATTCTCTGGGGTTGGGAATGTGAACGATTTGCTGGTTGATGGGCTTCTGCGGTGTCTGCGCACGTAGGCCGTGGAAGAGTAAGACCGAGACAGGCGTGGTCGTCCCGCCGGCGGGTCAACCAAGGTAGGTGAAGTGGGACAGGACTGAGATTCCGGCTCAATGTTCTCAATATGCTGCGCGAAAGGCGAAGACTTGAGCGGTGCAGTGTATGGCATCCGGCCGGATTTGTGCGATCAAACACAAGAAGCGATCTAATTGAGCAACAGGGAAACTTTTGCTTCTCTTAGGGTTGTAGATATTAAGAGACAAGGATCTTATACAAGCTGGCCCCGTCAATACGATCTTTTGGATGCGTTAGTACAGTGTGTGGTACTGGAAAGCAATGCTGAAGCATGAGGTTGAAGCTGAGCACAACGGTGGCGACAGATTTACATATAGCCAGTCGTACAGAACCAGTGAATTGAAATCAAGATAGAACTGTTGACTTCGAGAAAGATCGGCACACGACAAGGTGGGAAAATGCGAAAGAAATGGTGAATAACAAACCACAAGAAGGAGCGTTGGACATCAGTCCCGTACTCGGGAAATAGAAGCAAAGGCGGGCGTATCACAACACCCCATCACTCCCTGTGGTGATACAAAAGGACTCGCAAAGAACGGGATTCGAGAAAATCACCGACGTAACAATCGCTGTGGCATGACAAGGGGAATGGTGCCATAGAAGGAGATTGCATCATGATTCGATGAACAGATGTGTACATACCTTGAAAGCTCGACATCTAGTGAGATGAAACAAAGAAAAAAAGAAAATGTAAGATAATCCGAGTGAAGCAATCGCGTTTCAAATGTGAGGCAAAGGAAAGGGGAAACAAGGATGAGATTGGGGAATTATTAAGACTCAACCCCGACGTTGAAAGAGACAGATGGGATGATCAATCATGGAGGGAGGAAGGAAATATATGCGAGATGTGGAGATGATGATGAGAGAGGAGAATGGGGACCGGAGACGGAGCCGCAGTACACAATATATCAAGGCAATGATATGATCGTTGATAAGAAACCTAATGACCGGAGAATTTTGGATTTTTCGACTGTTACTGTTCCTAATAGTCAAGAGGGGCGAAAACGAAATTAAGTTGAGACAGACGGCGAGGATTTTCTTTTTCTTTTTCTCTTTTTTGCTTTATCTTTCCTTCCTTCGAATTAATCTTCCATGCCGATTTCTTCTCTTCTTCGTTTAGTGGGTTTAAATTTTTCAACTTTTTTTTATCAACCCCCTTGATGGCAAAAAAGGATATTCAATCGGTTACTCAAGCAATCCACTTTTTAGTGCTTTTTTCCTTTTCCTTTTTTTTATTTTTCAATTTTTAGTGTTATTTTTACTTTCCCACCATGACCGTCACTATACATGGCGATAAGTTCGTGGCCTAAGGCGAAATGTTTGCCGCCGTACCCGGAAACCGGCCAAAACCAATGGATAACGAGAAGACGAGGAGGTGGTATTAGCGGTAATACACCAACTTAAAATAGGCGATCGAACGGTCTGGGACAGTGGGACGATCCCCCA